ATATATATATATATATATATATATATATATATATATATATATATCTAATAATTGTTTACACTGTTTTAATACTTCTCGCGAATGAACATGTACATCCGATTATTGAAATCGAATTTATAGTTGCAAATAAACTTTATCTACAATGAAGTAATAAAATCAAACGAATTATCTTCTGTTAATGAAAATTTCTATAATTAGCTTAACATTTTTCTGACTGCAAAAGCAATTCCATTTCCTTTCTCTGCAAATAATATTTACCGTGTTAATCTATCGATTGAACTTTCTGAAAAATCTCAATCACACAATCATATCGATATTTAATTATTTTTACTCCAACTATTTGAAAGAGATTCTATCGAGAAGAAGAGGGACATAACTATCCATGATACTCTGAAACACTAGATCAACTTTTCTCGGGATTGCGTCAAATTGCATTTATTGCTTTCGACAGTATAAAATACCCTAAATAACTATGTCTTGCATATAAATAAATTTCTACAACGAATTCATTCGCAAGATATTGAAAAAATATTGATGAATGGCGTGTGTAATTTCGCTCGAAATTACGCAACAGAGGCCTCATTGTGACAGCACAGTCGATATCATCGATATCTATTTCCTTATTATTTCCTTGTTATTGCATAACAATATGATCACTTTTTCGTTGAATCGAGACGTTGACATTATTATCCAACATGGGAACGCTTATTGATGAATGTACCTTGGTATAAATAAAGATTTATACACAAAGAAAAATCGAATGAAAATTAAAACACTTCTATTTGAAGCATCCCTGTCTCTCTCCCAGAATTATCGAAGCAACGAGCTCGTGTTCTCGAACGGACCATCGTCGGAATGAGAGAGAAAAGCACGTCCAGAAGATTTTCGATTCTGTCTATACACGTCAGTGAGATCCTGGAGAACTTTCTTTCCTTCATCGTGGCTCCCGGTCGCCATTTGTATCGGCACGATCGTTGAACCATATTTCAACCGAATGAAAAGGAACACAGCACCGTCCGATCAGCCGGCAAAGGGTCAGCAAAAGGAATTCAATCTTTCGTTGAAATTTTCGGGGGGAAGATGCGGCTCGATGTCGACTCGATTCGAGTTTTTAATCCATCGAGTGTGTTCGACGCTTTCATAGAAATTACCAACCGAAGGTAAAAACCTAACCTAAACCTAACCAAACACACATACATGCATACAAAAGAAAGAAAAAAAATAAGAAATAAGAACGTATAAAAAAAAGGAACGAGCTTTTACAGGTACACGTATGATTTTTGAATGTATTCATGCAATTGCCATGGACCCGATCGTTCGTCTTTATAGTTTATCCTACCGCTTTTATGGTCGCTGCTTCTTCTTCTTCTTCTTCTTTTTTTCTTCCTTTCATCGCATATACGATAAAACCGGAATAATGTGAATAAGCGTAAAATGGCCGTACGAAGGCGGTAAAAGTTTTATTTTTTCCTTCTTCTTCTTCTTTCGGCTTGAAACCGACCGCTGTATGAAATGGGCTTCGAATGGACAATTTCTGATAAGGTGCAAACGTTACTGCACGCGTTCCCACTTAATGCCGGGGATCAGAGCCGGGGAAAACGTGGTCGATTCTCACACACTTCCGGCAGAAAAAGGTCAGTATCATGCAAGTAGATTCTCTAGGTAATTTTTGGTAAAAAATTTTGAAATTTGTTCTACCATAAATAATGTACTTTAACTGTTACGTGTTCACAGAATAGCGCGCGAAAATATTTGAAAAAAGACCGGTCAAAAAAATAAAAAAGGAAATATTTGATTTGCTAAAGGTGTACAACAATTTACTGAAAAACAATTTTCGTTTCGTTTGTCAGACTTTTAAATAATTTTTACGATTGTAAACGAGAATTATAATAAAATATTTAAAAAATGTCTCGTATGTTTGGCTTTCGTATATTTTGGAGAATTAAATTGTTATTCAAGATTTTACACCATCTTATACTTTCAACGAAGGTACGTCTCCCACTTCGCTAACTTGAAGAATTTTCCCCATTTCAATAAATTTTCTATAAAAATATAATCCCTATTAAAAAACCGATTTCAATATCGTATACCCATTATAGGAAAAAAACGCGTGCTTTTCTAAAAAAAAAAAAACTTCGTCTCACATTTCATTCAACAACACTCTCGACAAACTGAAAGGTCAAATTTTCAAACGTCGTTTCTCGTCAGGCTTCCGTTTTCGTTTCGACGAATCTCTCGTGAAATCACGACTCGACGTTATACAGACTTCGAGCCACTTTTCAAAAGCCTCTCGAGCGAGCTAGAGACAATAACAAGAAGTCGATCATTAGTGCTTAATCTTCGCGAGCTCGAGCCTCACGGCCCCGACAATCGCTCTTCCAATTAACTCGATTTCCTAAAGAGCGTTAAGAAGCTAATTTGCATCGGCGAGCGCGTCTCAAAGACGGACTTGCTTTAACTTCCATCTTGATCGTCGATCAGAAGAACCACGTCCTTTGACGTCGAGCGAAAGAGTTTACGTTGGTCATTAGCGGTTAAGATGGCGGACTTACACGGTCATCGTTCGAGCCTTGAATGTCTGCCAAATCTCGTTTACCTCGATGAAAAGGAAAAAAGAAAAGGAAAAGAAAAACACGCGAAACTTGCGGAGAGTGCTCGTGGAAATCTGGCGAGTAGCGTGTCAAACGTCGTTACGGGAAACGAGATTAAAGGATAGAAATAGGGGCAAGGGTTGTTCAGAATTATTCCGATTTAATTAAGGGACGTTAAGTTTAGCGGAAGTTGACGAGGCACTGCGGAACGAATTGCTTGCTTAGGTTAACGCGATCGCGAGGATCGTTTGATTTATTGAGTGTTCCCTGAAACGTAAAAATCTACGACAAGCGAATGAGAGGGAATAAAGGAATTTATGAATTAAGAAATTGAAAGAAATTCTTGTGAAAAGACATTGAGAAATTTAAAAAAACCAAAGGTCCGTACCTTTTATAACCATTTTAATCCAGAAACAATATTTTAATTAATGCACTTATTACATTATGAATCAAACAAAGGTTTTAGCAGAAATAGAATAGAAATTGAAATTTCATAAAATTATATAATCCTATTCAAAGCAAGACTTGCAAATAGTTATGAATATATTGAATTCGGTTTTCGAAAAAGAATTATGAAAGATTGAAAATTCTGCTGATACCGGAATCGATTACGATCTTTTGTGCATCGAATATAGGTTCATATGTTCGTACCAGGATCGTGATCTTTCTTTTTTCTTTGTCTTAGATCCGTTTTAACTTCTAATCCAGATTTTTCACAATTAACAATTTTAATTTACGTTATCAAATTCAGTCATGTTTAAATAGATTAATGATACATCATCTCGCAAGTAAGATGAATCCATATGCAGTCGTATCCTAAGTAGAATAAGACCGTGCCTGGTCGGTCATCTCTAAGTAAAATAAGATCGAACGTAGTCACACATTCTAAGTAGAATAGGCCGACATATGGTCAGGAACATTAAGTGAAATAAATCCGCAGTGGGCAGACACTTCAAGTAATATGGATCCGTAGTAGTCAGAAATCTCTAAGTAGATTAAATCCAAAGTGTACAGACATTTTCAAGTAGAATAGGGCCGTGCGTGTTCGAACATTCAGAAGTAGAATTAAGTGGAAGATACAACAAATGTCTTCTCGTGAAATTTAACTCTTTGAATATTTTAGTCCGTAAAAGAACATCGTATAGATAATCTTACAATCAATAATAAAGTAGTTGCTTTCTTTTGCAGAAGGTGAAAGGAATGAATGTATTTGTTACATACTTTTTTAATTATCTTTTTGTAATTTTAAGCACTCAAAGGGTTAAAGGGTAAAACAAATCTCTACCCAAATTCTTCTTATTCACGAAAACATAAATTCACATGAATATCCACAATGGACAAATGAAGTTAATACAGAGAAACAAAAAACCGTATCAGATTAGAAGGATAATGCGGTACGGTAAAAAGTTCGAATTTTTAAGAATAGCAAAAAGAGAAAGGGAGAAAGAGAGAGAGAGATGTGGCATCAGATCTTCGAACGTTGCAAACTCGTAATCTCTCGTTGATACTCTCTCGATGTAATATTCGCCGACATCCCGCGTTTCCCGCGGAAAGGGATCGTCCACGGTGTTTATTTAATAAAACGACGGGGGAAGGGGACAAACTGGCCAAACAGAGCGACGAAATTGTTTCGTGCAACGGTGGATAGCGAGGTCCCCGATAAATTTGAACGATACTTCCGCAGTTGCTCGGGCTCCGCAATAATAAATATTATCGCGACGATCAAAATAACGAGCGTATTTGGCTGGGCGCCACGCGTTCAAGAACCGGTTCCCGGTCCCTCTTACCACCGTCATACTCTCCGCGTAACATTTTCATATTCCATTTCCGATAAGCACCGGCTGAAAAAAACGTAAATGAGCTCGAACGACGAGTTCGTTGCGTCGTCGTTGGGACGCGATCGCATTACACTAACAATAAGCGAGAAACGAATGTTTCTTCTCGCGATACAGTTTTATTCGCGCAATCGCGATGAATTTTCCTTCAACGCTTCGAGAGCTGTGTGTGAAAACTTTTCACGAATATCCGACGGATGTTTTTCAAGGTTTAAAGTCAGTAGAAGGTTAATTGAATTCCACGTTGTCGCGACAACAGCAATTAAAACGTCACAAACAGACGCTTTCGTGTTGTAGATTTTCTTCGTCGATGTTGCACTATCTTTCCAAAAGAATCGTTCCAGATTGGAATGAAGCTTTATCGAGGATAGAAACAACGTGCTCGATGGATAAAATGACGATCGAACAAATGGAAAAGAGATATCGTTGAGGTATAAATATTAAATGTATTTAATGTTTCGTACAATTAAACAGCAAGAGGGAGCTATTTCGTAAAAGTGAAGCATAGCTGAGAAAAGAGAGTAACACCGATGTCAAGAGCGAGACCGAATGAAAGAAGCAATTTTATTTAGTTCCTTCGTATAAGGATCACGCACAATAGCTGCTTTCCAGAGCAATGGAAACGTGAAATATGAAATCCCCTCTTCTGGCCGTTGGATATCGCGGTACGAACTTCTATTGTGGTTTCATCGATAAGTTATCGTCTATACTGTGTATCGAGGCGAAAAGGAAATTATATGAATTAACGACCCCTGTAACTCCACACATGCACGAGGCATATCTCTCTGCATGTGTATGTGTGTGTGTATCTGTGCATGTACGTACACCATACAACGGAACAGTTTTAAGGAAAAGCCTAAACGCGTGACAGTCACCATTAAGCTATCGTATTGTAACAATTTATCTCCTAAAAACCAACATTATCGTCACTGACATTGTTAGTAAAGTTCGCGACAAGCAGAATAATTATCTTGAAAAAGGATGAACATGTACGCCTGCGCGAACACTTGAAGAGGAACTTGTGTTCTAAATTCTACGTTTGTTTCGTGAAACAATTAAAATCGTTAATATAATAGTAAAACTTTAGAGATTCTTCGAAGCATTATTTTCATTTTGTGAAGCAAAATATAGTACTTGGTCGAACGAATTAAATTACATTAGAGAAATGGGACACAGAGTGTAAGTGAAATTAAATCAAATGTAAGGAAAGTGAATGAAAGTAATGGAAAAATTAATGGAGATTAAATATATGTTCGATAATAATTGCTCGGTACACCAGTACACTCTGTAGAATTTATTCCACTCAAAGTCGGAGCAAACCCCCCTCGCGTGAATTTCGTTCCGCGTTACAGTTAATTGCACGGAAACAAACAGGATTTTGCAAGCGACTGCAAAACCTGGCATTCTGTTCCGTCTTGCTAATCTCTGTTACGTAAACCAAGCTACAAATTAATCCTCGTAACTGGCTAACCACGGAAATTTTCCGTTTCCCGTTTTGAGATCGACGATGCTGCCTCGCCAAACTGAAATAATACCCGATGGAAATACATTGAGGGACGGAACACCTTTTAGACTATACGCTGTTTCAGAATGAGTCTGCCAATAGACGTCACCTGGCAACTAGTTAATTCTGGAAATTAATTTACACTCCCACGTGGACGATTGAAATATTGGAATTATTTAACGATATCATATATTTCACGCCACTCTGTGTGTGATACTTTTCCGCTAGGAAATAAAAACATTGTTGAAGGAAATGGAAAAAGAAATTAGTAGAAATTAGTAGAAATACCGAAAGAAGGAAAGTAGGAAATTAAAATAAAAGTCAAATGAGATAAAGTAATATAATTCAAAGAAGGCAGATCTTCCGTAACTCGTATTGCTCAGACAGAATTACAGAAACGAGTGAACGTCGGTTTGTTAAACAAAATTGAAGACGGAGACGTGAAGTCTCGTCGTAAATGCAATTCCCGGTTTCGTTTCAGTCAGCGAAGGAAACCGCGAAAGAAGACCAGAAGTCTACTCGATTAGACGTCGAAAGTGGAGAACGCGGCGGATACGTGGCTCGTTTTCCGTGGAAATTCACTGGTGATCGCGTATCTCGTTCGCGGAGGGCAAAACAGAGCGGAGTCAGATCGAACGAGCGCGGCGAGAAGAGGCGCCATTTAAAATCCACCTTCGGAAAGATAATGGCAACTGACCTGAAAACGACACTCTGCTATTTCGCCGAGCGTGTCAGCGACCAACTTATTCGAGAGGGAGGAGGAAGGAAATGCAGCTTCGAATGCGGCTCTTTCCGCAATACGACGCTGCGCGCAAAGATAGAAATTCACATCGTTGAATTTACATCGTCCACTCGCGAAGAAATCTTGATTAGACGGAATATCGATATGGTTAATTTTAAAGAGAAGAAATTTTATACTGTCTATACACAGAGAAACAATCCTTTCCGAGCGAATTAAATCACGCACGTCAATCCAAGGATTGCACTCTTCAAATTCTGTTCTCCGAATATTCTATTTTCATTGAAATATTTTTTCGATATTCCATTCGACAGACGACCCGTAATACATAACGATAATATACACAGCGAGTGAATTTTCTCAAACATTTCAGAGGTCCCAAACCGAATCTTTTCTTCGAATTTCTATTTCGAACGATGAGGAAATTAGTTGAAAGTGAAGAAATGTATTTGCCTGTCAGTTAATTGAAACAAAGACAAATTCGTCAGTACTGTCTTCAAAGGGAATAATTTCGTATGATTAAATATTACTTTTTTTTTTTTAATTATAACATTACACTGTTTTTTTGGATAAACGAAAGGAAACTTCTTTCGTCACATTCCTCGGTTCATTTATTATTTTCCAGTTGCGTGTTTTCCCAAGCAAGGGAGAAGCTAAGGATTCCAGCGAATATAGGACATGCCACGAAGTTTAAAAACGGAAGACGTCCTTGCCATCGAGTGATCTTTAAAACTTTTAAAGTAGTTGCTGCGCACTTCCGTAAACAAGGCGATCAAGACGTAAGCTGATTTAAGGAGAGCCAGCTTACCGGCTATAGAAAAGAGGAACAGGATAACGAGAAACAATCATGCTCTTCTGAATTCTTGAAATTTCTTCGTCGAGCATCATTCTTCAGTTATCAACGGCGGGTTTCGTTTAATCAAGTTTCTTACAGAGATTCCATCCACCGCAAGCAATTTTTAAGCATTCTCTCGTATCAAGTTACTTTAGAGCGTGTACAATGCAACTTGAATAATCAACTCTCGCGGAATTATTAAGAGAATTTCCAGTCTGACAATTTCCAGCTAAAAGATGAAAGTGAAATATTTATATGAACTGACAAATCAGAGGTCACTAACGAGAGATTCCGATTCTTTATTTATTTTCATTGTTGCACGATCTTATTTTTCTTTCCCTTCTGCGAGAAAACATTTATGAATTTCGCGAGACTACACAGAATTTACCAGAGTAAAATATTCGTTGTTATTTCCATGCATTCGCAGGTGATTTTAAACATTGAATACGATTTCGCATTGCACGATGCGCATATTATGAGAAAGCATTGAAACGAGTCTAAAGTAAATCGTTCCTACAATATTTGTTTTTCGCGGGACTCTATTTTCTTACGTTCTTAAAGAAATACGAAATTCCCTCGTACGACGCAAGCACTACACATCCGACGATTAAACTGATTGTGAACAAACGCTGCTTAACCGAAACGGTTCTGTTAACGAAAGCTGTTCTCGACGAAACCAAACCGAGAAATCCTCGAGACTCGTGGAAAACAAACTGACGATCGAGAAGAAGAAAGAACAAATGGCAGGGAAGGAGGAGAGCCGAAAGTATCGTGAAAATGCAACGATCATAGCGAGCAAGTGCACGACTCGACTAAAATCTGATCTGAAATCCTAACGTTGAAAGGGTTTCTCGGTGGAAATCTTTCGCAGAGGGGCTTACAAACCTAAGCAGAAGTTACGACGCTTAGGTTGCGCAATGGTTAACCCGGCAAAGTGGATACAGTTTACGATTTCTCTACGCCAGGCGTGATCGTTCGTGTCCTTCTGCCGGATTAGAAATCAGGATTTCTCAGCGAGGAATAAGTACAGATGGCAGATAGAAATTTCGCGAGCGGTCACAGCCGCGACTTTCAACTTCGCTGCGATGCAACTATCTTTCACTATCGTGAGTCGATACCCTTCAGATTACTATCCCGTGAACTTTCATCGACTCGATGTGAAAAGCTACTTCAAACAGATTCGTAGCGTAATATCGTAATTGATCGTGAAGTTGAATGATACTCTTTTTGTATTTCATATTTTGATAGAAAATCTCTATTATTTTAAATTAGATGTGCGACCTTGAAGTGCAACTTTTGACGTGCAAGGTTTGTAAAGTAAAGACAGTAATTTCCTTTGATATTGTTTGACATTGTTTTCCAATCGAATTGATATTAATTTAACTGATAACAAGATGAGAACAATTTTTAGCGAACATGGAAATTCATTTTCTTACCATACTACGTTTATTGATTATGTTTAATGGTTTTAGACTATTTGTAAAGAAACGAAATAGTCTTCGTTGCATAAAGTTGTTTCGAAAGTAAACTATTTTAGCATAAACGAATAAGTTATATTCCTTGTCAAACGACATTGATAATTGTAAAAGTTTCAAGAGATGTATTCTTAACTATATTTTAATTTAAAATTATAAAAAAAGTTTATTCCTCTTAAAAATTCAACTGTGCATGTATATTTTCCATGACTGACCATGTTCCTTAGGTGAAACATAAACTTGAGATTAAACAATTAAATCTTCTACTCTATAGATTTACATTACATTGTGCATTTTCTTGTATCTCTAGACGTACGAATCGCACAAAAATTCGCCAATCATTAGCAATTACTCAACTAAAATATTTGCACTTGCAATCGGAAATCCAATTACCCATGAAGAAAAAAAAAATGAAGAGCGAACGTACAACTTCTAGCAGTAACGCTGAAGCACCATTTCAACTTGGTAAATTCAAACATTAATTAGCAAGTTATACACAGGAATTAATAATATAGAACGCTTGATACGCGAAGCATTGTAACGCTGACGAGAGCCACGCGTAGTTTAGATCCTGTTTTAACATAAAGTTTCGTTATGCTATCATGGCATTTACTGACTCATCTTAATCGATTTATTGCAGCAGTAATAATCATCTATCAATATCGTATTGTGTGAACACATACACACAGGCAGAGTAGTAAAGCTGATTTCCACGCGTTATAAATGCGATAATGTAAAATTATCTGTTTATGAGCATTAAATATCATAAATACGGATGAATGATAAACAGGGGAAATTCAATTAAAATTTCACGTCGCCAAGAGAGACGCGATTATTTACGGAGCAATTAAATAATTATTTGCATTATTTTACGCAAATGTTACTATTATAATTCCATCAATTTCGTTGCCCGTGATTAATGGAATGACAGATCTGTGAATACGTTGCCAAAAGGAATGTAATCGTTTATAGGGCTTTGAATAAGTATTCTATTTCTTTTGTGCAAAGATTATTAGAATATTCCTATTAATTTTGTAATTTCTATTAATTGTTGCAATTTCCATTAATTTACAATACAGATAAAATTATTCCTGCTGTTTCTATCTGTTAGTCGTTTTTAGCAATTTATAATATTATTTCTTGTTGTTATTCTATATATTTTTGTAGCTCTATAAATTAGATCTATGTATTCCCTTAAATTATTAAAGACTAAAGAAAAGAGAACAGATTTTCTCCGCTTCTATTTATTAATCGTCTTTACTTGTTTCTGTTGTTTCATTTGTCATTTTACATGTACCTTTGTGCCTCTATTAATTCCTTTAAACAATTTCTAATTTCTAGAAATTCCAGATCGAGGAGAAGAAAATGCAAAAGACTCGTTCCAGAGTTCCTTCCTCAAATCGTACAGTGGAGATAGAATTAAAATAGAGAAGTTGCCTTCTAGACACATACCTGCAACGACTGCGGCCAGATGCAAGTCAGATTCGTCAATCTGTCTCCGATGTACACGGATGGATCGGACGAGCTGCACCTGTCGGTGCCATTTGACCCTGCTCTGCCGTATTGAGCTAGAACGACGGAGATAGTGGTACCAACTGGACACTTCAGCGTCATCGACTCCTCGTCACAGGCTGCGCGCTGATAGGTCTTCAGGGTGCCTAATAACAAGGCTGTCGAATTAAAGAAAAAGAATGTCGCGACAATGGGAATGGAGAGGGAGAAAAATTGTTGCGAGTGTCAGAGTCAAAAGAAAGAAAAGAAAAAAATTAATCGTCACGTTTAAACAACAGTACGCAGAAACAAGAAATATTAAAGCCAGAATGCAGAGAGTGTGAATTCACATGCGTAGTGGAAATTGCAATTTGCAAGAGCGTTCATCAAGTGAAGTTGAAAGGAAGACCGTTGATCAAAAAGAATCGTTGCAATAGTGAAAACAGTAGTGGGAGCAGTAAAATTCACCGAAGGGGACGAGAAGTTTAATTTACAAAGAAACGTACAAGTAGAGGAATTGACGAGCAAATTTGCAAATAAATCATCGTTCGATGATAATTGTTCGAAGTGCAAATAAACAGTAAGTGAGATAAGGCAATAACAGACAATGACGCGGCGTTTCAATTTAAAAAGGAAAAGAAAGAGGAGAACGCGGATGAAAGGGAGGCGCGAACAAATACAAAACGAGCGAGAGGAGCGGAATTCAGAGAAACGGCCGGAAGGAAGGAACACGGACAAACGAGGATCGATCGGTGACCCGTGACAGTGTCGCCGCAATGGTGATTAGTTCCGGGGGATTCGCGGTAATTAACGAGTGGATCAATCGAGGATCGGTTGAACAGCGATGTATCGATGACACCCGCGAAAGCGGTGTCGTTTCGTTTACACGCGAAATACACGTCAGCCGGGACGGACAACGAGGCCGCATTTACGGAATTCGACGGCGAGTTTGCGCACGGAACCGCACACGTTACCGCGTTTCAGTCAAACCGATTAGGATACCGGATGATCGACGTCAGGAAGCACGACCGATCGAATCATTTTCAAAGTCGAAAAATTTCATTTACATTTGTTTCAAGTAATTTTAAATCGTAAACAGTATTGAGACGATGTTGGCAAAGATTCGAAGGATTTTAGTCATCCAGAAGTTCAAATTGGATACGACATGAAAATATTATAAAAAAAAAAAAAAATAAAAGAGAGTGTAGTAGTTGTTAGAAAGAAGCAGTGGACGATATTGGTTACAAGTTGCACGAATTAAAAGTCGAAGCGAGATAATGAAAATCGGCGATAGAGTGAAACGAGTTTCATATATCCGTGGCAAAAAGTTAATGAAATTTGTATGACGAAGATAACGAATTAGAATTAGTAAGGACGGCAATTATAAAACGAGGGCAACAGTAAGAATAAAAGAATAAAGAGAAACAGAGAATACGAAGTACGATGGTGGTAACGAAATAAAAATAAAGAGCAAAGCAATTGCAGAATAGTACAGTAATTGAGCAAAGAGGTAGCAAGTGTTGTGTAATTAAAAGCGTTTAAGGGGTGCATTACGAGGAGCAATTAAGTCGTTGAACCAACAAGGTGTCCAACAAAATGTTAGAGTATCAGTACGGCCGCCGTGAACGCGGTTTGTTAGCATGCCAATGTGGTCACCATCCCCATGATTTATTAACGTGTCATTGTTGTCACCGTCACCACGGTGTACCAGGCATTGTGGTCACCATCGGCACGACGCACCGCGTTGTTACCGTGGTCACCATCACCAGAGTTAATCAGCGTGTCGTTGTTGTTGCCATGCGGATTGTTACGGTGTCGTTGTTGCAACCGTAGCCGTCACCAAAATCATTGTGAATGACCAATAAAATGCCGCAGTCCATTTGAGGAGAGGAAGCATGAAAAAGAAAAGGAGAAAACTTTAGTTTACAGATTTATAATAACATGAATCTGTGTTTTTTATTACATTTTTTATCATTCTACGTAACGACAGAAAATTTTTTATGAATTTTCTCAATTCGTGACGAATATGTTTTCTTTTATAATTTGTATAATATATATATATATATTTTTATTGTTTGTATATCTCAGTATACATAAATAATAAAAATCATTTTCAACATGTGACAATATGAATAGCCATCCATTATCGTACTGCAAACATCCCCATTTCTCTATCCATTCCGAGCGAAATATTTGAAACGTCAATTTCCCCTTTTCGTCAAACGTTGTGATCAATCACCCAAACACGACAATAATTACCAATCGTAATTCTTTCTCCATTCGACACTGTCGAATGGAGAATTTGACACATTCCCGTCAATATTTTATCGTATTGCAGCGTGTAAACAAAATATAGGAGTAGCGCTTCAGAATAACGTGTGATTAAAATAATAAGAAATATAACAACGAATAGTAGCAGTAAAAGTAACAATCAACATCTTTTCAATAAATTCGTCAATTATTCCAATCAACTGAAAGATCAACGTTTCCACGACATCAATCCAGAAATTTTCACACGAAGTTTATTGATTAATTTCCGCGTAATTTCCTATAATTATTTCGTAATTTCCAAATTATAAACCCGTGGCATCTGCAGAACGTCAACACACGGCCCAAAGTTCCGTCTGCTATTATAAAAGCAAGCGAAAACATACCTACGCGCACTGTATCAAACACCTGTAAATCGCGTGTATAACTTTCACGACAATAAACTTCCTCCTAATTGAGCGCTGGTGAACACGAGATGCAAGGAAAACTTCTGATTGCTTGCGGAATTCGCGCGCGGACCACATGAAAGGGACAGACGCGCGAAATTTCCCAGGTTTTCGACCACGTAGAACGAAGGAGATCCGATGGATCGAGATCGAGGCAGTAGCCAGGCCCCGATAATTCAGACACGACTCTCCTCGAGAAATATCTCCGCCGCCCAGTGATCTCGCTGTCTCGCAAAACGCTGGCAAAGTTGCGGTGAAACGTGGCTAACGTTCGTTTCACACCAGCTCTTCGAACCGGTAATTTCGTTCATGCGGGAGAAAAGTAAATTTCATTGCAGCCGGGAACGTCTAATTGCCCCGACATCGGAATAAATTACACCTGACGCGGAGTTGTTGCTTCGTTTCTGTACCATTGCGATCGAGATGCATCGCTGTATTTTGTATTTTCGAGAATGAACGAGGATGAAGAAGAGAAAATGGTGAAGATTATGGGGAAATAGTATCGAGGGACGAAAGTTTCGTTGGAACTGGAAAATTGTCGAGGCTCCGAAGAAACTTTTAATTACAAAGGAACGAACGAACGATTTTTGATTTAAGAAATAAACGAAAAGATGTCTGGGAAAGAGACTATAATTTTTGTAAATATAATTTACGACGAGGAGCCTAGGAACTTGTACTATAGTACTTCGGATCATAAGCTTTCGAGTTTAAGAATTTCCAAATTTCAATATTCACACGTGGCTGATGAAATTAAACTTCCTAGTTCACAATTCAACTTGCTTTCATTCCTATGTCAATCGTTCCATCTCCAATCAACCCTGAAATCCCAGCATCGTAACTTCGCAAACCTGTCGAAGTATCAGATTCTGCAGCAGTTCTCGGATGACATATCGCGTCGCGTTTCACTACGGATCATCGTCACGACGATTAAAACGGAGAAATCAATGCGGTCTCCCGATACCTCGAAATCCCCGGCTATTGCTCGTTACACTTCTTTTAATACGCGAGCGTAAAACCCGCGAACGGAGATCACCCGGTCGCGTAATTACGCGAAGCACGATCGTACGTCTCGGATGCTCGGTGACAGCGGGTTTTTTGTCCCGCGAGCTCGCGAACGTTTCAATCCTTGCCTAGGCTTCGCCTCGAATTTCAGCGGCGCTGTAACGCCTTTATGAGGCCATTTCTCAAACTTGCAATATCGCGTCGCTCGTTCTTCCGTCTCATTAACTCCACGCGCTCTTTGCGAACGTGCCAGGGGAAGAATGAAAGGAAGGGAGATCAACCTCCGTGGAAGATATCCCTCCTCAGATCGATTTTACGAGGATTCGACCATCGTCAGTGCAACTGACGATTCCTCAATCCATCATCTCGAGGATTCGTCTTCGTTTTAAATGTTTTAAATCACTGATTTCAGACTGTGAACTCTGGACTTTGTTCCAATAGCTTTCAATTGTTTGTCGTATTCAGGCACGACGAGATTTTTAGAATTGGATTAACAAACGTGTCCGTTCGAATTTTTAAAACAACACGTTCATTTTGTAAGAAGAACGAAGGACTGAATAACAAAGCAGATTTTCACGGTTTTCTCTACTGAATAACAAGTTCTAACATTTCTGAGATACATAAACTCTCGACTTTATATTTCAATTTTTCTCGTAATTTCTAGATCTCGTTTCGCTGCAAAGCGACAGCTAATTTGCGAATGGAAATATTATCGAAAAATTTTACCTCTTTGAAGGTATCTACTACTAATCACTCGTTTACATCGTTATAAACGGAAAGTGGCAGCTTTCAAGATTCGAAAAACTCTTGCTCGCAAATTTGCAATTCCTTCAGTGTCAAGTTCCCAAGATTTTAACGAGTCTCTTAAAATATAATTGCCGTTACAAGATACTTGTGTACACAGGCTCTTTGAGAATTTTAAACACGCGAAGCAAGAAACGTATTTTTAATTCTAATTGCATCTTCGGAGCGCTCTTCTCTGCTGATTTTTCTTACGAATGCTTTCGTCTGCAAGATGATTTCGACTTCCTGCGCGATCTACTCTTTGCTTCATGCCATGATTTCCATCTCGATATCGCATATTCATTACGACAGATTTTAGAGAACATCTGGTCAGCTTACGATTTTCATATTTTCGAGGATACCATTATCTTACTTCTAAAATATCTCTTTCTGTATTCTCAATATTTCTAACAATAAAGGAACAACGAATATTCTTATGTGAACAATATGTAATACTCTTTGCGTCACGAAGTTTCCTCTTTCAGAGGATTTTAATCTCAAGATCCTCCCAAATTCCTCGTTTATTCTGCGAGAAACATAAAACCATGTATTTTAAAGCTGCATTCACAAACAAAAAGAAAATGAACAATTTTGGGATCATGAAAAAATCCGAATTTCTTCGAATTTCTTACAGACGTATTTTTTTCTCGAGGTTTAAGATTCTTTAAAATATTTGTAGAACATTCTACAAAATGATCTTCGCTGTATCAAAAATATTCTCGTTGCAAACTCTACCGAATTTCCTAAATACGCTTTCGTGCGTTCCCTTTTTTTAAATTCACTCCATAGAAAAAAATTACTTGCGCAGGGAATCCATTCGTTACGAGTCAATCGCAACGAATATTTCTAATTGCTGCGGGTTTCGTACCAATTGCCCAAATAGTTTGGAGAATATTGCAATTGCGACGATTAAAAGATACTGCCATTGTGAAACCATAAAGGGAATAACA